GGCGCGTTCTTTCCGTGAGCTGGGTGTAGTTTGTTGTCAAACAGTATTTGGTCACAGACTGAGCCGTTCACTACAAGTGGCGGAGGACACGTATTCGAGAGGAAGTACACTCGCCACGTCGCCGAGGTCATGCCAGTTGTCATGTTAACTTCGCGAAACGTGTCATAGATCGGCTTGCATCCGATGATGAAGAGCCGATGCAGGATCGTGTCCGTTTTCGTGTCTGAGTCGACGTTCGAGATGTCCACGAAGTACTTGCTCGCGAGAATGTCAAACTCGTTGAACATGAATACGCCGCCCATGATATTCACCTTCGTGCGTTCAAGCTGTAAGCAAGCCTCCTTGGTCTTCACCTTGACGCGAAGATTGCCACCGGGGAGTTTCGACACTTGACCAATCGCGTGTTCGCCATACAGTTTCTCAAGTGCGTCGTTGCCGTGGTGTGAACCAGTCAGCGACGCCATGATCTTCTGCAGTGGTGTCTTTGCGAAGGTGCGTCCCGTGTTAATCACCATGTCATAGCGTGCGCGGGGCAACTCATAAGGCCGCGCTTGATCTATGCGTGAGGAGACAAACGACCAGTCACGCCCGGCAGCGTACTGGCGCTCGATTGATTGTCAGACGCGAGCGGCTTAGGTGTCTCGATGCGATTGCGTAAGGCGTCAATCACGGCTTTATCGCGCCGAATAATCTCTTGACTTTGCAACAGCTGTTCCGATAGTGCAGAAGTACTACCGATAGTTAAAATTGCCTAACCACACCCCTAACTATCTCAAAAGAAAACTCCATCGAATTTGTTGTCATTGATTGTGCTGGTGCTGTCAAATTCGTTCATATCATTGCTTACGCAGAATTCATCAAAAGCGATTCACTTCTCTACTTTTGAAGGCAATTTACAAGACAGAAGAGTCTGCAAAACATTCTCTCAGCTAGAAAACAAATAGCTTTTACGAAAACAAAAGATTAAAATTTACATCTTGGATTCACATAGCGGCATGCTTATAATGGCAGAAACGAGAGGGATGCTGCTACAAAATCACATTAGCTACCGATAGTAATCACAGGTCGAAAATATCTTGCCTTTCCTTCGCGCACACGAAAATAGATACATTATCCGCAGCGCCAAGCTGAGAGATGCTGTCCACGTCAACGGCATAATGATATAGCACGTTCTGAGCACCAGCCAATACTAGTTAACACAACGTTCGTATCCGATAGCAAAAAGAGCGACATATAGTATTGGCATCCGTCTTACAGGAATCAAAAGCGGTATAGGTATGAGGCTTTGCTTTACACAATACAACTCGTGATCGAATTGGAAAGCGACAGTGATGCTGGTTACCGCTTTAAAACCGGCATTCTAATTATTAACCAACAATTAGTCACAAGAGTATCAATCGCGAGACGAACATTGTACCTGAATGTTTAACTTGATTCGAAAGGACGGACCGATTCCCAGCACTTGTGCGTTCAGACGGATGGCTGCACCCGTCGAGTACGAGACCAACCCCTGTGAATATTAAAAATATGAGCGTCAATTTTTCGAAACTGATGTAGTCAATGTTTGTTACATGTCCATCTTTGATAATCTTAACATATGCACGTGCTGTGTTCAAGCGCAATTTGCACAAGTCACGCTGAAAGTGACGATGCATTTCTGTGGCCTGGTCTCGTTCGCGTTGAGTTTGCTCAAGGTACAATGTCGTTTTCTTAGGGATGTTAAGTGGGATGTCTACGTACAAATTGCCAGGCGTCTCATCAGCATAGACAAACTTACCTTTGAAAAACGACCTACCTTGCTCCGGTGGAGGACCGGCCGCCGCTGAGATCGCATCTAAGCTGGCTGTACGTTTTAGAATGTTCAATGAAAGAGCACCACTCTTTTGCACGAGAACAAGCGAGGCTTCCTCGCGTCCATATTGACCAAATCGCATTCCTGTAAGCACCATGTCCGTGCTTAAAGTGCACACCTTGACCTTTTCATTGTACAACGTGACTTCGCCGTTGTGCAATGCCACGATAACACCTCGAGTTTCTTTGGTTCGACGAAGACTAAATGCTTCAAGGGCAACAATATCGTCACCCATAGTTAAACTCCAATTTTTTTTGCCTTTGAGGTGGTACGACGTGAGCTTTCGGCTCATCGATGCAATCACGATGCTCTTATCGAGTTGCACGAGACCACACGCAGGTAATTCCAGCTCAATCACTGACCTCAGCAATTCTCCATTCTTTATTGTGTACACGGTGCTGTTGCGTGTTGTCATGACAAGACGATATTCGATGTCCAGCAGTCCCACAGCAACGATTTCAACAGGCACTCCAGGAACTTTTATCTGTTGGATAACGGTTGTGCCTTGAGGATCCAACACATACACCATGCAGCTCTCACTTGCGACGACAAGACTGATCATTAACAAGTATAGACCTTATTAAATGAGTATTCTCATGGAACAATTTTCTAACTTACCAGCTTACAGCATCTTTGTCGTCCATACTCTTGTTAATAGACGTCATGCAAGTCACGAAAGATCGCTCGACTAGTTGATCGTCCATAAACCTCGACACGTATTCGGCTTGCTCTTCTATATTGTCAATCGCTAGCAGACCCCGCGAACGCTCCGACAAGCGAATTCCTAACCCGCTGAAAAATTGTCGGTACGACCACTAATTTCTTTGCAAGTGATGCTTACCGCATTGTTGAAAATTGCGTGAGCGCGTCCGGGACCTCTATTGTGCATTTTGCTAATGACTCCCATAGTTTTGTTTCCTGTGCGTCAATTTCAACGGATGGAACTGTGAACCTGTAGTGGGGGCGAAAGTTGCGGTATATGAAGATATATGGGCCCGATGCAACTGCAATTGCTGGAATTCGAGGTCGACTATTGTCTGCACATGTTGTAACGTAAATAATTTAATTTCCCACACCATCTGGTCTTAAGTCATAGATTGGTCTTGTAGGTCAGTCTGTCGGCTTACCCGAGTAAAAGTAGCTCAGGGACGATGGTACTCCAAGGATAGCTTGCTCGCCATGGAGTGATGAACCTGACAAGAATGTGTAAGATCTAAACGCACTCAAAGAAAGCAAGTAATAGGTTACAAGCACCTTTGAACATCTTTAGCCGCTGGTCCCCATCTGCTATCACGAGTTTTGCGTCCCCGTCGCCGTAGACATCCACCAATCGCATGCAATTTGATCCAGCTTTGATACCAGCAACTGCATTGTGATATGCTGAAAGCCACGGACTCATCAATGTTTTCTTGATCGATGGATCAGCTGATTCAGCTGATGCTGATGATGGAACATCGCCCTTCTCTGTGTCTTCCGATAGCGGCATTCAGCAGCTCGGTACTATCTCAAGCTGGGTGTTAATTTTTTTATTGGGCGTGAAGAGGCATCTGAATGTTTCGAAGGGTTGGATCGCGCTAAAGTTTGTGCTTCACCTGGCAGTACAAGAAAAATGGAATTATACAGCTTTCCATTCACGCAGAAGCTTTTCATGGCAACTTTACCATCTTCACATACATATTATTGCCTCTGTGCTAAAAAAAAAGCTTCAGACTTCGACGGTCACAAGCAATACGGATGTGGGAAATACAATATTTTTTAACAAAAAATGCGAGCGAGGTGCATAGAAGCATTCACTTCTGACGAAGTAAGTTAAGAGCGCTTTACATACATCTCCAAAACCCGTCTGTGCTTGTAGTCGATAATAATTATCAGCACGGCAAAAGCAAGTATTCATGTTGTAACACTATTTCTGCTGGCAAGCCGACTAGAGGGGCCTTGTGCAATAAACAACTAACCTAATTTGTTCAACGCTGGGCATCACTTGGCGGCCAGCAGAACTAGTTAGCAGAGAGGCTAGTGCATTTGCGTGCAAACGAACTAGTCAGTTATCTGGTAAATGATATGCCTCCAGGTTCTATATATATTTTATGTACATTTGTGTGACACAGTAGGTCTTGCATCGTTTGTCCGTCGAAACATTCAAGGAAAGTTAAACGAAACAAAAACAAGTCTCGAAATCTCGAGTCGAGCCTCTTGTATTTGTATGGGTCGGAGTCGCAAAGAATTACAAGTTCATCCCCTCATTCGCAAGAAGTTTCGCATTAGTGCGAGCAAACGTTAACCGTTACGAACTTGCTGTCAATAGTACAATGAAACAGGATGCGTCGGCTACACCTGTAGCAATGGACGTGACCTCAATTCCCAATGTCGCGACGGCAGCTTCTGCTAATGCGCCGGATTGGAGCGACTCAGCTGAAAACTCGAACTCACATGATGATGAATTTATTTTGTCGCCACAGGGCCCGTCACTTTCGTACGAGCGCAAAATACGCTTACACAAGTATGCAGAAAATCGTGCGCGCTCATGTCTCGGCTTGTTGTCCGACGCAAGTAGCGCCCTTTGGAAGGTACATGATTGTAAAAATGACATTGGCATATATAAGCCGAGCTCCGATTGGTCCGAGTCCGTCTCAGCTAAGGCTGTTGTGTTTGCCAACGCGGCATTTCCTAATGTACTTAAGACTATCTACGACCTTAAAACGTCGAACAAGTTTAAGCTCTTCATGCATAGAGTGTTGGGCGACATCTTCCTGGATGCAGAAGTGCTTGAGGATCTCAATGGAACCGGAGTCTACCCAAGCGCAAACCCACCCCGAGACGCCCGCGAGATGTACAAGCAGGCCGCAATTAAGTGGTGGGCCATCAAGTCGGGCTCACTTGTTAGCAAATCCTCGGACTTCTACGTACTGGAGGTATGGTTGCAGCGTAGGATATTAGTGCCAAACGACGTGATGTTCTGTAGCCATCCCGACCACACCAAGTGATCCACTAATAGTGTGCATTTTTTGGAAAATTGACAGTACATTGGCATTGAGACGTTGGGTGGAGATATTATGGCCTGCTATCTTTTCCAAGAATCGCTAGCAGAAGTGGGTGGTATGCCCCACATCCAAGATAGCAATCTTGAGCGCTCGCAGTTCGATGCAATGATTTGCAAGTTTGAGCGCACTTCGTCGCCAGACTATAAGGACGACTTTGTCACAATTTCCATTGCTTTCCAACGACCTCCACCTATGGTAAGCCTTTTCCGCAGCAATCCGGCTGTCGAAATGGTCACGCAACTTGCACGCGGCTTACGCGACTTACTTGAAGACCCCTCAGAGCTTCAAGAGATATCTGTTGTTAAGACTTCTGCATGGGTAAAAGACAAGTACGTTGTATCATTTCCTCAGGACAAAAAAACGATTATCACATTAAACATATTTTCTTACAGAGACCGCCGCTTTTGCGTGCTTTGCAACAAACGCTTCTCTTCCATCTTTCGTAGACGCCACCACTGCCGAACATGCGGCGAAGTAATATGCTGGGCGTGCAGCAGTACAATTCGCGTTCCCTCGATCAGCTTCACGCACAACGACACTGGTAAGCAGGTGCTGTCGCGTCACCAACCGAGTATTCGCGTATGTAGCAAGTGTGTCGTGTTCCACCATCGGTCTAAAAGTAGTAGGGAGCTAAATAACGAAGAAGATTTCAAGGACTGGATCAAGAGAAGTACCGGGCACCAGCACCTGGCTGTCAGTAACGAACCAAGCAATGCCCAGCAGCTTCGCTTGCCTAGCCCTTCACATTCACAAGACCTGACAGGTGCGCTGGAAACCTTACAGGCCAAACCAGAGCAAACTTCGGTGACAAAAGAGGAGCGGATGCCTCGTAAGTACCGCCGAATCAGTGTGGACAACGAGGATGAGGAAAAAGAGGACGGAATAATCTACCCGAACAAACACCGTGAGCATCCAGGTACCCTGGACGATCGACAACGCCGCGATTTAACCCGACGCTCTTCTCGAAAGGTGTTTGCAAGAAGGCAACGACAAAGTAATCTGCAGGTACCGCAACGGTACAGCTATGGTGAGCAGAAAGCCCGTGGCTCGAAACATATGCGTCGAATACGCCGTTCGCACTCGGCGGTCAGCTTAGAGCGTGCTACTGGCGGCAGTCAAGATAATGAAGCTGAGCCAGTATTTTCAAGAAACATTTCTCAAAATCGTCCCACTAGCTTTCGTCTCCACGGTCCATCAAAAAATCCTACTCAGCATGCCATTCCCACAAATGTTGGCAACAAGGAAAAAGCAAATCGACGATCGAACTCGAAAGAGAGACTACCGCTGCAGAACAGTAGTAGTTATGTCCACGTTGCTTCAGCGTGGTCAACAAACAAGACCGAAGCCCTTGCCATGACTGGGGCCTTTCAGGAATTGTTGACAAAACTTGGTGGTGATGTTCATTTTGTTGTCGTTGGCTTCTCTACTGGCTTCAGCGCCGAAGTGGTTGTAAACCTTTTGCGTCAACTAGCTCCTGGCGTTCCTTACATTGGCGGTACAATCGCGCGTGGAATGTGTGACGAAAACGCTTGGGTGTCAGTGAACCGTCACAATAATGAAGGCCTTGTGACATTGTGGGGTGTCAATGATCCGTATGGGACTTATTCCGTGGTTCATGCAGAGTATTCACAGAGTGATGCCCATGAGAAATCATATGCCGCTGCGAAAACGGCGCTTGCCCGTGTGGCAGGTGGCGTGGATGTCGGGGAAAAGCCGGCTTTCATCGTAACGTATGCTTGTCCTCTCTTTGTTGAGAATGCTATTGACGGTATTCGTGAGGCAATTCATTGTCCAATTGTTGGCGGCTGCTCCTCCGATGCCACTAAACATGGTGAGGGTGAAATTTCCGTGTCTTGGATCCAGATAAGCAGTAGCAGCAGTACAGATTACACCAAAAGTGTTTGCGATGGCCTAGGGGACTGGACTGAAATGGGGATAGCGTTCGCGCTATGTTTCCCCAGTGTGGAGACGTATGTGAGCTGGTTCAGCAGCTACAGCCCGGTCGGAGTGAATAGCGAGTACTGCATGGGTACTGTCACCAAGGCGTCGAACAAAACCATCTACGAAATTGATAGTAAACCTGCGGCTGAGGTTTATCAAGAGGTGATTTGTTCCCTGTTTTTCTGGGTGTTGCTGTCTAATCTCTTGAAAACATGTGCTTTGTGCATAGTGGCTTGACGTAGTTTCAGAGAACAGTCAAACTGACCTGGCTTCAATCGGATTTCCTCGGCTTGGTAGTTTACATCCCCTGGGCACCACGATCGACTTCGTCTCGAATCAAATGGAAATTGATCGTGGTGTCGACGCAAATTCGTCTTCCTCGTTGTGTTCAATGCAATCAAGCGACTGGTCCAAGCTGATTAATATGACGGCAGTAATTACTGGGATTAACGAAGACGGCTCACTCAGCACAACCAGCTCAGTTGCTTCCGGCACAAATGTTGTACTGATGGAAACATCCGCGCAGTCATTAAAGACTGCCATTAACAAGGTCTGTCCAGGCTAGATGTTTTGCGGACGGTGTGTCTAAAAGTGTGACTCTGGTGCGTTTATAGATGGGAGCCCAAGCCGTGGAAAGCAACAAATTTTACATTCATGAAACGATCGGCTGCCTCATGTTTTTGTCCGCAGGAGTACAAGCGCTGCTTGGCCACAAATGCATGGCTGAGATGGTGAGTGCGGCGCGTGTCGTAAGTTTGCATGCTAATCAAAATGGTTCCGTTATACTTTCAGGTCGGTGCGTATAAGGACTGGTCAGGTGGAGCGTCGTTGATGGGTATGACGACATTCGGTGAGATCGGTCACCTCCCACATTCAACTGATTTCCCTCACTACGACTCGCTCATGTTCGGTGCCATCATTTTCTCCAAGCACAAGCGAAAAGAGTTTCTTTGTTTCTAAAGGACAAAAATATTACGCATTAAGCAAATTGATGTTAAATCACTTTCATTTGTCCTTTTTCTTCACAGCGCGCAATTTGAGGTAAAATGGCGCAAATTGCCCCAACTCCACGCCGCAGTCGCAGTCATAGTCGTGGACGGAGTACACGTCCACCACGTCATCACTCATCAAATTCCTCACGGCGCAAGCGGTCGCGCTCTCGCTCGCTATCGTCGAGAAGGTCGTCGAGCAGCTCGTCGCGTGGTAGATCGCGTTCGCGGGAGCGCCGCCGATCGTCTAAATCAAGCGAGAAGCATCGTCACAAGCGCTCAAAAGTAAAGCGGAAAGAGCGTCGTCGCTCAAAATCATACTCGTGCTCCAGGAGCCGCTCGGTGGACCGACGCAGCAGCTTGAAGAAGAATAGGGGTAAAAGCCACAGAAGCTCACGTAGGATCAGTCGACGCGGCAGAAGTAAGAGCGAAAGCGATCCGACTTTGGAGAATTTAAGTCGCAAATCACTTGCTACCAATGAAACCAAGAGAGATGCGAAGGAAAATGAAGTGACACCCCAAAAGACACGACATAAGAACCATAGCGGCTCCGACTCAAACACAAACAGATCATCCAGCAAATCTGTCGCTGTTACTGCACATTTAAAGGTTGGAATGCCTGAGGATTTTAAATTTAGAAGTATTTCGCTTAAAAACCAGGCTGTCAAGAAAGGTGTGGTGAAGAAGAAGCCTGCAGCTATTTTCAAAGCTCTAGGTGTAGGAACAAGCTTGCGACTAAATGGCGATAAATTAACGCAGGAGCATGAACATTTTGGTTTAGATAATCAGCGTAAGGATAATGAAGGAAAGGTATTGTCAGAGGAGAATGCGGTGCAGAAGCAACTGAATGTGAAGACAGATGAAGATGAACAGATAAAAAAGTCGCCAAAAGGAATAGTAAAACGGGATGAGGACGGAGTGAAGCATTGTGCTAGAGTGCAGGATGTGGATCCTCTGGATGCATATATGGCTGGTTTGGTGGACGAAACAGCACGTTTAGACCCCGCACCTAATGTGATTTCGCAGTCTGAAATTGAAGATCAGAGCAAAATCAATATTTACGGCACTTTCTTGCCGCCAAATGCTGTAGAGCAAACGGGTGTGTCCAAAACTCCGTCGTCTTTAGAGCCTGTTTTCACAGGAAGTATTGTGAGTGAAACACCTGAAGAGCGCGAAGCCCGTGAGGAACGAGAACTCAAGGAATTTATGCGGGCGCTACATGAAAAGCGAGAGTACGAAGAAAAGCACAAATTTGAAGCGACTCGTGTAGAATCTATGGGAAATGATACTACTGGGCGATTATATCAGGGCTTAGAAGAAGATATTATCGGTGAAGACTCCCAGCTCGTGGATCAGCGTTCGGCTCTCGAAATCTTACAGGACCAACAAAAAAAGAGGGAGATCAATCCTGTTGATCATTCCAGGATAAATTACCTGCCACTTCAAAAATTTTTTTATGTAGTTCCAAAAGAAATCAAGGATCAATCGGAAGAAGAGGTGGAAATACAGCGAAATGAGTGTGAAATCAAAGTGCGAGGAAAGAAGTGCCCACGTCCACTGCAAAAGTGGAATCAATGTGGTTTTAGTGTGCGAATGCTCCAGCTGATTAAAAAACACGGCTATAAAGAACCATTTGCAATTCAAAAACAGGCGCTGCCTGCAATCATGTCAGGACGTGATGTCATTGGCATTGCAAAAACAGGTTCTGGCAAGACTTTGGCATTCTTGCTTCCCATGTTTCGGCATATACTTGCTCAACCCCCCCTACAAGAAAGCGAAGGTCCTATTGGAATCGTTATGGCGCCTGCACGAGAGCTGGCTCAACAAATTTATGTCGAAACTCGGAAGTTTGCGAAAGGCCTTGGCTTGCATGCTACCGCAGTTTATGGCGGATCTTCAGTCTCAGAGCAAATTGCAAAACTGAAGCGTGGCTCAGACATTGTCATTTGTACACCAGGTCGAATGATCGATATCCTTTGCATGAGTGCTGGAAAGATGTTGTCGCTACAACGTTTGTCGTACGTTGTGCTTGATGAAGCTGACCGCATGTTTGACATGGGATTTGAACCGCAAATTACGAAGATTATGATGAATGTTCGGCCAGACCGACAAACTCTGCTGTTTTCGGCAACGTTTCCTCGATCAGTGGAACTTATGGCGCGAAAAGTACTGAAGAAACCTGTGGAAATAACTGTTGGTACTCGAAGCACGGCATCCGGTGATATCACCCAGTACATTGAAGTCCGTGAAGAAGATGATAAGTTCATGCGTTTGTTGCAGCTCTTGGGTTTATGGTATGAAAAGGGAAACATTCTCATTTTTGTGAACAAACAACAAGCATGCGACCAGATCTTCCAGGACTTGATGAAAGCTGGATATCCTGCGCTCTCGCTGCATGGTATACTATCATGTCCAAACTATCATTATTTTAGTGGTGCTGATGCTTCTTCTACGTCTGTTGTTGGTGTAGGCGGAAAAGATCAGGTGGATCGGGACTACACGATTGATGATTTTAAAAGGAAGGTGCGAACTGTGATGGTGGCAACTTCTGTCGCTGGTCGAGGTCTCGACGTGAAGGATTTAGTTCTTGTCGTCAATTATCACTGTCCCAATCACATGGAAGATTATGTCCATCGCGTTGGAAGAACTGGTCGAGCTGGGAGAAAAGGCACCGCCTACACTTTTATTTCTCCAGATGTAAGTTTGCAATCAAGCTAAATTAGAAAACTTGCCGATCACTGACTTGTGCCTGCATTAATGCAGGAGGAGGCGTACTCCGTGGATCTTGTCAAAGTCTTGGAAAACGCTAGACAGACTGTTCCGCACGAGTTAAAGGCACTTGCAGAAGGATTTACAGCAAAGGCACGTATTTTGTAGTGGCTGCTCTGCATTAGTTAAATGTGTTAACCAACATTATTAGGTCAAGCGTGGCGAGGCGAGGTATCATGGCAGTGGTTTTAAAGGTAAGGGCTTCACGTTCGACGACACGGAACGAAATGAGACCCAACGTACTGCGGATCTTCAAAGACGTCAATATGAACTAGACCAAGGCATCCTAGTTGAGGTATGCTGTTGACTACATGGACATGAAGAAAGCAACCTCGTTCTTATGTTTTTTTTATAGGAGTCTGGTGCAATCGAAGATGATGATGTGGAAGAACCTGCCAAGGAGACCATTACCAGCTCATCTGACAAATTGATGGCGCCTGCTGTTCAAAAGGCCATACCTATCGACAGTGAAGCTATGTCAGCTTTTATCAAGGCGCAAAAAATCATTCAAAATTTGGATCTGAAATACAAAAGCCAAGGTTTAGGAGACAATCACTTTGTCGACGAGCTTGAAATAAACGACTATCCCCAGCATGCGCGGTGGAGGGTCACTCAGAAAGAGGCAAGTGACTCAATTGAAGAACTTACTGGTGCTGCTGTTATTACGCGAGGGTCATTTATTCCTGCTGGTCGAAAACCTAATCCATCGGAACGTAAACTTTACTTGGTACAGGAAAAACAATGTTGGGTGATGTTTAGCAATGTTTTTGGCGCTCTAACGTTTATTCTATATAAAAGGCAATAGAGGGACCGACTCAATCGTCGGTTGTGGAGGCTCGGCGCGAGCTGCAAAGACTGTTGGACGAAACGACGATGCAGGTTGGTTTAGGCGGCGACAAATACGGAAAGTACAGTCTGTAATGTCATTAGGCAAGATTTTGTTGGTATAGTTGAGCCTTTCTTAATACTTGAACACGATCACCTTGGATGCATCCTGCGATTTGTCACAATAAGTAACAAGTGTGTAGTCGCCTAAACGATATTGCAAGTCTCAATAGACTGGCAACTGTGCTCAATATTTTCTCAGTCCAATTTTATAGTCGACATCGAGAGTTTGCATATTTTACCTGCATCTAAAAATTTAAGCCGCGGGTCCGCACTGCATGCCGTCCAGACACCATATGTCAACTGTTTCTTCACCAGGTAGATCCAGTTCTCTCAAATCAAGGCAAGTGATGTCGGGTGCCGACATCTGGCTAAACACATTTAAATCTTGAGAATGTAATGTCAATGTCGGATAAAGCTCGCTTCTCGAGGGAAAGGGGAGGGTAAATTTCATGACACGATTGTTGCTATCGCGAAGCGCAATTCCATCCACAGTGAAGCGCACTAATGCTTCGCCGATGGGTGATCCAACGTGACCCGATCTCACTCTGGAAGAAGATGCAGATGGCCCAGAAACACTTGTGGTGGCCGTAATAAAGGGTTCATCTTCCTGGTGACAAACCACCTGGGCCAAGACCCCAACAGTAGACTGAGAACCATACTTCCGGCTAACTTCAACGGAGCGGCGGCCATCCGAGCCTACAAGCACGTGGCCGGCGGAATAAAACCCTATCTGTATTTTATGGAGAATCGCCCTTCATTAGCTTCATTCGTTCCGCACAACCGTTACTCATCCTACCTTACCGAATTTTTTGATGCACCGACGAGAGTGTTGAGCGGCATCAATCGCGTTGACAACCCGATACAAACGCTAACGTCATTTTCGGCTAGGTCGGTCAAATTGCCTGCAATCGCGCTACTAGCACCACCCAGTAGAGAAGTCGATCCACGAGTCATCTGCGACGAAACCTCGCGTTTTGACAAACTCATATTCGGGCCACGAATGGGTGCCCACCCTTGTTGCAGAGTCATTTCAAAATATACAAACCTATTTTTCTGTAGCGGCACAGAAGCACGCACGCTGCGGTACATGCCTGTGCCTACCTTAAACGCACAATGGCGGCCACAGGATAAATAAATATCTTCGTGACAATCATGCACATTGAATCGTGGCACACGCAAACTACGATCCCCCGTTAGGGTCGCTGCACGTTCCTGTCGAAGTCGGTCACGAGCCTGATACAGAACGTCATCTGAAAAATTCGAAAATGCTAGCTGCACACGCTTACGCGCCATAGGTGACACAGGTATTGATCGCGGGGTCACGGAACTCAGCTGAGCTAAACTTAGTTTGGTTTCCTCCTGAGATTGAATTTGACAGCCACTGCAAACATTTGCATCACTAGTTGATCTTCTCCATGGAGCCGAACCCTGTAAATTATCTGGAGGTAATCGCACCGTCGCCTCAAACGAATGCAACGGTATCTGGAAATGCATGACGCGTCGTATCCTCTGATCAATATTTGATGGTACCATGCTCTCTTTCTCCTTGTACTCCAGAACCACGGCCGTTACTGATATTCCCACAAAGTAAGCACGACGAATTAAAATCTGTACGAACCCTTTCTAAATCTTTTGGCAACGTACAACTCGGATCAACCACATAACTCTCAGTATTGCTATAATGTCGGTGGTGCAAATGATGATGACTTCGGCTGCGGCCGCTCCCGGGTCCAGATCCACATGTCGAAGCAGCCTCCATTATCTCGTCACTTGACAATCTTAGCGTATCCTCCATTGCTTGTAGCAGTCCATAAATAAATGAACAGGCCGTAGAAACTCCAGGCAAACTCATGATCAGCACGAAGATGCCGTGACACATTCTCAGCGATGTTTTGACGACGAGTTTCTGCAGCGATGTAGTGACGGTCAGCACCCAGTGCACAACCCCTCGCACTTCCTCGGGCTTTGCAGCATCCCTCAAGCAGCTTCTAGCTACGGCATCGCCCAATTCCTCGTCGTTTGAGCACTTTGATTTGGGCCTCACAGCCGAGCGCGTTACCATCTTTGCCAGCCGACGCTTAAGCTCTTTAACGACAGAGGTGGACAGATGAAGGCGATCCTGCAGGCGATCCAGCGCCTCCAGCAGACCGATGCAGACCATTATTAGCTGCGAACAGAATCAAAGTTTAGTACACATGGACATTAATTTCAAACACCTCTGCACTGCACATCGTACAGTGTCTTTCGTATCAGCAAGCGAGCGCAGCGTATCCGAACAAACACGTCTCACAGTGAACGTCTGCGTTTGAGAAAAGCTTGCATTCATGAGGTATAATCAAAAGAAGGTGATCAAAGCCAGAATGCAGTTCTGCAGCAGGTGATGAAATGTACGCTGGTGATGATAGTGTCCAGCACGGCGTGCGGTCCGGTTAGGCTTCTGGAAGTCTAGAAGATGATAGTGATTGAATTCTTTCTCTGTTGACTGAACCTAACCCCTCAAGATAGAACTATCTTTATCCAATCCACATACTATCAATAGAATGCGAACAGACATTTTTCGTTGCCAGAAAGACCAAGGTTGGCAAGTTGCGGAAGTCATGATTTTTTGCAACAAGATCTGTTGGTAAAAAACTGCAACGTAAAACCCATTTACGTTTTGAAGCACAGTGGTGTCCTACAATCAAAGTCTAGAAAGCTTTACTCAATAGATTTTATAGATAACAATGGTTTTGTGAATAACTACCATTTTCACCAATATACGCCTCAAGGCGATCATCATGTATAGGTTTCGTGGGTTTGGAGTCAATCTCAAACTACTTAAATTGCACAAAATAATCTTTCATTTTATACTAGGAGCCAACAATTTGCATGAACGAGAGAATAAGATTTTTTACGCGCAAAATGCCATATAAACATGTCATATGTAGGAATGTGGCTCATTTTGTGAACAAAACTAGTGTTGAACGCGGTTTGACTCGACAAAATCATTTAGGCTCCAGTCACTTTCACACGACACACAAGCTTGTGCGCGTAAGGAAGCAATTCTGAAACTATCAGAGAGGGTAGAATTTATTTGAGTGAGTACATATTCAACACTAAGGGAGAATAAAAAAAATGCCCCAACTTTTGCCATATATAAAAAAATATCCCAACTTTT